GCCCTGGCTATCTCACGTTCAAGGCCATGTGGCCGCGGGATTGGATGAGTTCCGTTTTCCGGGAACCCCTCAGCACGTTCATTACACCTCAGCGCTGGCGTCGTATTATGTGGACCTTTCAGTTTACGAAGTGCAGGTTCATGAACGCCTACGAAAATGGTGCTTGCACCATGGCCTGCCCCTGGACCAGTTCCACGCACCTCTCATGCAGCACCTACGCAGTCAATTTCAGACACATCGGCAGCACGCGTCCACCCATCAACTCCTCACCAAGCACCAGCTGAACATCCTGCATCGACACCTCGGCCAGGACTTTGTGTGCCATAACGAGGATCACGACAACCACCACCTCATGTTCTTCTGCCCCCAACTCTACTTCAAAGGCCTCCACAACACCTGGCTTCAGTCAGGCACATTTGCCGCCACTGCACTGAAGCCCGACCAAGCTGGGGCTCTTATTGTTGAAGCCATTCCCCGGCACTTGCAGAAGAGGTACAAATGGGCATACAGGAAGAAGACCACCGCGATCCCGGTTGGAAAAGTCTTTCTAAAACGCAAGAAGCAATGGAAATCGGGGCGAACTATTATAGCCTACCATAAGGTGGTACATCGGCAGCTCTTTAAAGCGGTTGCAATCCTCCTAGGCGAGATCGCCGCGAGTACATGGAAGTGTTCGTGGGGGGTACACCCCACGCCGAGGATATGGCAGAACGTCAAACATTACTTTGACAACACAGACGATACAGTCACCCTCGCATTTCACAATGACGATTTGGTCGGCTTCTTCAACAGTGTCCCTCAGGATCAAGTGCGCGCAGCAGTCGAGCAGCTATTAGCAGAGCACCGGCGAGAGCATCCTGGTCTCATCTATTCGGTGGAAACTCAGGCGGCGGTTCACTACAATCGGGTTTTTGCGGGTAAGCAATCCTACGGACGTACGCCGACCACGCGGGTCATTTATGTGGAGGACATCCTGGATATAGTCAAATCCAGCTTCCAATGCATGTATGTCCAGGTGGGGACTCTCATTCTGCGCCAAGTCCACGGAACAGCGATTGGCTCTCAGCTGAGCCCAGTTCTCAGCCACATCTGCGTCGCGAGGCACGAAGTTCTTTGGCAGCGTATCTACGGACAATGGTTCGCCAGTCACAACATCTTCTTGGAGCGATATGTCGACAACAGATTTGTGATCTTCCCGTCTCCGGCTTCCGGTCACCCAGCAGCTCCGTTGGAGGCTTTGCTTCAAGCTGACTTTTATGGTGCGCCCATCGTGTTGGAACAGGTGGGATCTTCTGAGTTCCTCGGCTTCGTGATCGACGTCGGCGACCGTGCGATTTACTACAAAACCCCAACAAAAATCTGGCAGATCAGAGGACCCCACACTGCAGGAAGTCTTTCCACCCTTCTCTCCGGGGCCAGATCACGGTCAGCCCTCGCTACCAAGTACGCGCATCCGGCCCGAGCTGTACAGATGGCATTGGATCAGCTTCGCAGTATCTATTTGTCCGCCGGCTACAAGTCAGCTGACCTGCAGCACCTGTTTCATCTTCCGGCCATCCCAACCGGAAAGAACGTTTAAGTGCCGATTGTCGTTGGTTTTCGATGTTTGGCTTTGTGGCTCGCTCTTGTTGGTTTTGTTTTGTTTCGGTCTTCTTCCGAACCGGGTCTGGCTCGGTTGGGCTGGTGCGCTCGGGTGTTTCTTCTGTTTGGGTTCCGGGGTCCCTTGACTCTTGTGTTCATCACGGAGCTTGTCTGCTGGTTCAAGACGTGGGCCTTCTCGCCGACATCGGAAAGCGGTCGTCATGCTCGGACGCATGATAGCACTTCACCATCGTATGACCCAGAACGCTGCGGACATGATGCAGCTCATCCAGGAGACTCTGAATCAGGCTGACGAGGCACACAGTCGCAGGCTTCATGACGGGCACGATCGCTTGCGGCAGCAACATGTCCGCGGCCTGTCGCTGGCAGAATCATCGCGGCCACGAGCACACGATCATGCTGGACTCGATGAGGTGGAACCACCTGGCCCCGTGATTCTGAATTCGGTCAACTCGGAGGATCTGGCCGACCCTCCACCACCAGTCGGCTTTCAGTCACTCCAGCTACACGCGGACCACAGGCACGACGCGGTGGCCAACCCCAAGTCGTTGTCCTACGGCATCATCACGGGGGACACCAACGAGGCTATAGACCCGCGCTCGAAGAGCTCCATGGCGCACGCCTATGCTGGTCAGCTAAGCATCAAGAAGGCCAATATTCCCCGTTCCATCATGGACAAGGGTGGGGCCGATCGACGCAGAACCAAGCAGAAGCGATGCCGCGCTACATCCTCCGAGAAGACGAATTCCCCGGAACCTCCAGCACGTCCAGCACCTCGCACTCCAGCGCCAGCTCCGGTCTCTCCTTGCGCTGGCCTGTTCTCCTCTCCTGAATCCCTTCCCGAACCTCCTGCTCGTGCTCACTCCGATACCGGCAACCCAGGAACTCCCCCGGAAGTACCTCGCGCCTGGACAGAGGAAGATGACCAGCAGCTTTGCAGCCTGAAAGCGGACAACCGGTCCAAGTACTCGTACAAATCGCTGGCCAAGAAGCTCAACCGGTCCATCGCGGATGTCACGCAGCGCTGGAAAGGCCTGGAGCGCCTCAGAAAGGTGAAGGAACAGCATCAGAAGGCCACCTGAACCTAGGCGGTGATGCCACATGTCAAAATGACCGCGGGTAATTGAGCACAGGCAGGAGTTCCACAAACGGACCAAATCACCCATCGGGAATCATGATGGAGGCGGCTTTCAGAACTTGGCGGTTCCTCTGAGTGTTGAGTTTCGGGCTGTTTTGTGGTTTTTTTCCCCCTGCGGGGGGTGTGTGTGTGTGTGGCCCCCCTGTTCCTAAGGGGTTCTGCGGTCGTGCCTCTCTCTCTTTATTGGAGTATGCCCATGCCAGCAAACCGACCCCTTTCTTAGTACCTCGTCGCGGTAGTCATGGGCACTGACGAGTAGCCGCGGCGAGCGAACAGATCGGGAAGGCTAGCTGACGAAACTCCACTTTTCAGATACTTGGGGATGCACTCTTGCATTGTTGCCGTCTCATATCATGTGTGTGTGTGTGTGTGTGTGTGTGTGTGTGTGTGTGTGTGTGTGTGTGTGTGTGTGTGTGTGTGTGTGTGTGTGTGTGTGTGTGTGTGTGTGTGTGTGTGTGTGTGTGAGTGTGTGTGTGTGTGTGTGTGTGTGTGTGTGTGTGTGTGTGTGTGTGTGTGTGTGTGTGTGTGTGTGTGTGTGTGTGTGTGTGTGTGTGTGTGTGTGTGTGTGTGTGTGTGTGTGTGTGTGTGTGTGTGTGTGTGTGTGTGTGTGTGTGTGTGTGTGTGTGTGTGTGTGTGTGTGTGTGTGTGTGTGTGTGTGTGTGTGTGTGTGTGTGTGTGTGTGTGTGTGTGTGTGTGTGTGTGTGTGTGTGTGTGTGTGTGTGTGTGTGTGTGTGTGTGTGTGTGTGTGTGTGTGTGTGTGTGTGTGTGTGTGTGTGTGTGTGTGTGTGTGTGTGTGTGTGTGTGTGTGTGTGTGTGTGTGTGTGTGTGTGTGTGTGTGTGTGTGTGTGTGTGTGTGTGTGTGTGTGTGTGTGTGTGTGTGTGTGTGTGTGTGTGTGTGTGTGTGTGTGTGTGTGTGTGTGTGTGTGTGTGTGTGTGTGTGTGTGTGTGTGTGTGTGTGTGTGTGTGTGTGTGTGTGTGTGTGTGTGTGTGTGTGTGTGTGTGTGTGTGTGTGTGTGTGTGTGTGTGTGTGTGTGTGTGTGTGTGTGTGTGTGTGTGTGTGTGTGTGTGTGTGTGTGTGTGTGTGTGTGTGTGTGTGTGTGTGTGTGTGTGTGTGTGTGTGTGTGTGTGTGTGTGTGTGTGTGTGTGTGTGTGTGTGTGTGTGTGTGTGTGTGTGTGTGTGTGTGTGTGTGTGTGTGTGTGTGTGTGTGTGTGTGTGTGTGTGTGTGTGTGTGTGTGTGTGTGTGTGTGTGTGTGTGTGTGTGTGTGTGTGTGTGTGTGTGTGTGTGTGTGTGTGTGTGTGTGTGTGTGTGTGTGTGTGTGTGTGTGTGTGTGTGTGTGTGTGTGTGTGTGTGTGTGTGTGTGTGTGTGTGTGTGTGTGTGTGTGTGTGTGTGTGTGTGTGTGTGTGTGTGTGTGTGTGTGTGTGTGTGTCTATGGTCCTTCCAATAGAATGTCTTTACAAACCAGCTGACATGTCAACATAGATTTATTCAAACAGAGTTCAACTCGAATGTCCATTCAACAAACTTGGAAAAATGTGCGCTCACAGCGACCCGCCCTCCAAATAAATGGGGTGAACGTCAGTCGTGGGTGTGGGGAACCATCACAAAAAGTAGTTTGCAGAACCCCTCAAATGTGCAAACTTGAAGTGACCCAGTAGAAGCAATGCGGGCTTTCTCATCTGCTGGAGGTTTGCCTCAGAGGTGCCAAAAAGCCAGGACACCACAATCAAACCCGGGGACAATTGCTTGCCATGGGTTCTTGGTAGACTCCTTTAACTCGCCTGGTGTTTACCATGTTTTGACTCACGAGTCGAGTGCCTCGCCCTGCCCAAAATCGGCAACCATGCGCTGGATACCTGCACAGTGTCTCCAGCGCTCTTGGCGCGGTATGGAACCAGGATGTAGAAAAGCAGGACATCTTAAACTGGTCCACTTGCATAGACCTCAACGATTTGGGGGGGGGGGGTACCATCAAGATGTCTGGCTATGTCTGGCTTTCGGATTGACCTTTGATTCCACCTACCCAAAACAAAAACACCGGCTCATCGCCCATAGTGTGGGGTACTTCTATGCAAAAGGGATTCCAGCGGGCTCATCTGGGTTGCAAGAATTGGATTCGGCCACAGTATAAGCCTCAGTAAAAGGGGTAATAGAACCACATAATAGATTGGCCAATGGGAGCTTTGGGCGCTCACTGGTCGGGAAAGTGCAATTTCCGAAGGTCGTAAAGCACTTCTCGAAACGAAACTGTCCAAGGCACTGTAGATGTCGTGGTCGTGCTGGTGGACGTGGTCGTAGTGACGGTACTTGTGCTGGTGGTGCTGGTAGAAGTGGTAGTTTCAGTGAAGGTGGTTGTAGTCGAAGTACTCGTGCTTGTGGTAGTAGCTGTTGTAGTGGTGGTCTGGCATCAAAACAGAGCAACCACCCTGCCTTCAGGGGTCCGACTCGATGTCCAACTCAACTGGTACCAGACAGGAGATTTGCACTGGAAAACGGTAACGCCAGCACTGGCATGCTTTCTCAGTGAAGCACCTCCGGACAATATTGGAAGAGTCAAACAAGGCGAGTCTTCCTTGGGGCATCTGAAAACCCCGGGCCCTCAGGTGGCAGCGACTCGCCCTTGGCTTCTCGACTTCTGGTTGCGACGCCTTGTGTTGCATGTTGTAAGTTACGTGTATATTAGCCAAGAGCAAAAATGCAAGATATTGCTTTACGTTCACCTAGTGAAATAAGTCGATCTATTTCAATGAGTCCTGACCCCATCAAATGCTTCTGCAGAAAACGCACCCGCGCCGTACTGGTAGTTGTGATAGTGAACGTGGTAGAGGTGGTCGTTTCGGTGAAGGTGGTCGTGGTAGAAGTACTCGTGCTCGTGGTAGTACCAGTTGTAGTTGTGGTCTGGCATCAAAGCAGCGCAAATAGAGAGAAGCAATGGACGATTTGACGTACCAATGGTCCGTCTGGCGAATGCTTACTCTTTTGCAGGGAAACAGGGGCAGATTTGAATATCCTTTCCAAATAGACCATAAACTACATCAGCAAAAAAGGCCTCAGTCAGTTTCAAGTTGCAAGTTGCGCTCATGGGGGCTGTCCTTTGAGCTGCTCTGAACGAGCCCTGACCAAGATAAATTGTGGGGACCCACTTCTACTATCAGCAAGCATGGCCTTCCCAATCCTTCGACTCAAAAGGGACAACGGTGGTATCACCAACAAGGGGACCTCATTCCCACAATGTTGGTTTTAGAGCAAAATAAACTTGATGAAACCAATCATCTTGGAGTGTCCCCCGATTTTCATCAAGTCATCGAGATGACGTGAATCCGCGCCGTTTCTGTCGATGTCGTGGTGGTGCTGGTAGAGGTGGTTGTGCTCGTGGTGGTCGTCAACTGGCCCCGGGCCCCAGCCCACGCTGCTTTTTTCGGTAAAAACTGCCCAGACACCGAAACAGTCCATGGAACATCACCCCGATTTGGGGATGATACTTTGAGGGATTGGGTATCTTGGTCGACTTCAAAGGGAAATCGACATGCCAAGCATTGGGAGGGCCGACGGGGCAACGTTTGAGACAGCGGTTCCCTGGCATTGGGCTGCCGCAAATGCGAAGCGGGCAAAACTTGCCGCCTGCGCAAGCAAAGAACGGCATTTGCCCAAACACCCAAGCGCACCAAAAACCCTGCCGCCTCCCTTTTTGGTTGACAAGCATAGCATATGAAGAGGAATCAACTACAACTTTTCAGGGAATCCATGCCACACAATGCAATTAGGTGTCTTCTGTTGTGTTCTTTCTTTGCTTTTTCTCTTTTGTGGGGGGGGAGGGACCCCTTTTTTGGTTGGTTCCTATGTTGAAGCGCACAGGCAACCAGCGTTTTTGAGGTCCCCCTGACCGGACCTTTCGCGGATTCCAGTCGCCTTCTTTCCCCACGGAAAGTTCGAGGCCCCTTCAAACCTCCAATCCAAAGTAGGGATAACCAGATTTCTTGACCCACTTCTGGGCTACATGAAGCATATGTTCAGAGTCCGTCTCATATTCAGTCTACCTGAACCCCCAAACTTCCCTTAAAGTGGATCCACCCGATAATAGTCGGGCAACCCAGTTTCAAGGGTAGTTCTTTCGGGTCCAGATATATCATCACAAGCTAGTTCCAAACTACCCCCCCCCCCCCAAAAAAAAAAAAAAACACCATACCCCAACCAAACAGAGTACCCATACTCCCAGTTCCAAACTACCAAACCATACTTGCCATACCCCACTTTTTGTCGACTCACCTCGACTCACGACTCGCGACGACCCGCGACTCGCGACGACCAATTCGCGACAGCCCGGGAACCCGGGCGGAGCAGGAGAGCGACCGCCGCTCCACTGCCTTGGCCTGGCCTGCGGAGCCCTTGCAGCCTGGCGAAGGCCGCCCGCGAAGCGGCGAACCCCGCCGTGTTCGAGGGGAACGCGCCGATGGAACGGAAACACACAACGGGATTTTTTTTGGGGGGGGTGGTATGGGACACCAAGGGGAGAACAACCAATTTTAGGGGGTTACCCGATTTTTGAGACGTTTCACCTCTTGCAAATTGAGATGGACACCCACCAAAGGGCTTCTAGAAACGATACCTGCTCAGGCCTTCTGTGAAGGAAACCCGGCGGACGGGTTTGGATCCTAGTCGATTGAGCAGCGCCCGTTTCAGCCATTGACTGTTGGCTCCATGGTCATGAGGGTTTGTATAGGTTCCACTTGAGACACCATGAAGCCAGGTAGAACTAACTGCTTTGGTCAATCAGGGTCTTGGGCGCTAATCTGTTGACCGGGGTAAAATGAGATGGGTGTTAATTTGTCGACCAGGGTAAAAAGAGGTAAAGACCTTGAACTTGAAGATGGGAGATCGCCCATTTTCGCCAATGAAGCTGAGATGACCAAACCTCAAGATGGAAAAGAACATCAGTTTGCCTTGGTCTCTCTTTCTCAGAAACGCGATGTTTCTGCCCAAAAGTCTTCCCCTGCTCGGGTGCTTTGAAAAGAAAAGCCAAGGCAAACTTCCTTTCGAACCCGCGCCGCGGGTTTGTGACCACCAGCGCCTGCCGAGTTGTAGTCATAGCAGTGCGATTTCTTGTTCCAGCCGAACCAAAAGCCATCAGGGTTGCCGAAGTCGTAGACGCACGTGGCGCCGCACTCGTTGAACCTCGGAACCCCGCTGATTCCATTCATTTTATCGAATCCACCTAGAGTCTCCATGACCCTTACCCAAAAGAAAGGGGGTCATGACCCAATTTTTTAAGGGGTCATGGAGACTCTAGGCAGGGCTAAAAGAAAAATGGCGAAGGGGTAGCTACTATACTGGTAAATGGCAGAGGGGCCTGGCGAACCGCGGATCGCGTGTTCCTGTCCAGAAGGAGATATAGTGTTCGAAAAGGGGTCGAGCGTGTACTTCTATGGGCTTTGCCTGCGCTTCCATGTTTGCTCGGTCGGAGGGTAACCCGCCTGCCATGACCAAGTGGCTCAAAACTCTGGTTCCCCTTGGGCGACCTCTCTTCTTTTCGCCAACAGTTTTCACCATGAGCTCACTGAGAGGTCTCAAAATCCGAGACAACGTCCATCTCAGCATGCGATGTACACGTGGCACATGGGCAACAAACAAGTCACGGTTGGCAAAAGACAGACTCATTTGCTGAAAATAGGTGCGGATATCCGCCTTCTCAATTCTGTGCATGGCTTGTGGGTAGTTTTGATTGTGACACACACGTGGACAAGTCATGGGTAGTCCATGGTGAGTTGCTTTGAGCTGGACCCCAATCTCCCCAATTAGAACCACAACAAGCGGGCTGCAGCGACTAAAACACATGGGCGTGTGTCCAAACTGGGACCCCACAAAATTGTGTTGTTCCCTTTGGATGCCCTTTTAAACATAAGGTATCCTCAAAAGAGTAAACACCCACATTGACTTTTGGCCCTACCAGGATCGCAGGTTTGGAAACTTGGATTGTGTTCCCCAAAAGGACATGAAACAATTCACGCGTCTGGTTGAGATTTAGAGCTCGTCCCCCATTCCCCGAACCTCAAATGGACCATAGACAAATGAGCCATAATTGAACCTGATACAAAAATGGTGAACCCGGAACCATGCAAAGAATTCAGAAGGCGGATATCCACACCTACTTGTGGCCGGGAGTGTCCCTCACTAACCTTCACTTACCCGGGATTTGATTGTGGCTCGAATGAGGCAATGGTATGGAGTAACGGTTTGTTAGTCGAGTATAAGACCTGACCGCACCACCAAAGTTGGGCGAACACTCCGTTGTGAACGTGTGGATGATGGCTCACATGAGGAAAACATCTTGGAGACCGACCGTATGTCGAGGCCGCGGGGCATGTGGTTGGCAAGGGCACGTTTCAGCTCCGGCGTGTGCTGAAAATCGCAGGCCCTGAGCCGGAAAATGGTCAGGTCTAAGGAACCTGCAAAAAAAGGCTCGAAGACTCACGGCCGATCGAATGGATTGGCCAAAAAACGTCCCCAAAGTTTTTGCTTACCACTGAAATGGTCTTCCCCAAAAGTTTAAAGTCCAGGAACTCAGGGTGTGAGGAGGCCCTTTTCCTTTTAAAGGACCGGTTCCTGTGCAGGTTCCTATGTGGAATTTTGCCTGCCCCGCATGTCCCCCAAATGGCTATAGTTTCCTTGTGTTCCCTTCAAGCCCAGCCCCATAAAGGGGTACCGAGGCTGAGGTGTTGTGTTTTTTGCATAGCCCTGGCATTAGCCTAACCCTGGCGCAACCTGGCGTGGGCTTCAACACAGCCATGGCTGCAGCCAATTTTAAACCCACCCGAAACCAGCCCTAAACCTACCCGAGACCAACCCCAAGAAGCCTACCATAAACCAGCACTAAACCATCTGCTGCAAGCACAACCACACCCAAATTTGCTCTCAACAGGTTTGGAACCCATCGAGAGCCAACCCTGAGCCAACCCGGAACCTACCCTAAACCCAGCCCAAAACAAAACCTGGTGATGCTGAGGATGTTGAAAACGATGCTGAGGATGCTAAAACGAAGCAGGGCCTGAACCTACCCTAAACGGACTACCCCAAACCTACCCTACCGAGCCCCCGACCAACCAACCACCACCCAAACAACCAACCAACCAACCAACCAACCAACCATCCACCCACCCAACCACCCACCCACCCACCCACCCACCCACCCACCCACCCAACCACCCAACCAACCAACCAACCAACCCACCAACCAACCAACCACCTGCCAGGGTTAGCCCTGTGCCAGGGCTAGGCAAAAAAAAACACCTTTTCCGGGGTACCGAGCCTCAACAAAAGTCGAAACAAACCCCAAGGCCCAATGGGCGGTCATGCCCCTCAAAAATAGGAAGTCACTTAAACCATGTGACAGCCGTTGAGAGGTTCTCCCCAAAATGCTTCGTTTCCTTTTGAACATCCCGTTCACCCCCAACCCCGTGCCGAGCCTCAAAGAATCGGAGCCACACACACCCCTCCCCCCCCCCCCCGTTTTTGCCCCGGCTGGCAAATGCACCTCACACCCTAAAGCAGATCACTCAAACAATGAAAAATAGTCATTGTGGATAGCCCAAATCCGTTTTCACGACCCGCTCCCCTCTTTGGTTTGTCCAACAAAACTCCAACCCAAGCGACAACATAAGGGGCCACACTCCCCAAACCTGGCAAACGTGGTCCAGCGTCGAAAGGGGTACTCTAAAATGGGCTTGTCTCAAAGGGATCGGAACCCCCAACTGGCCCTCCCGTTAAAACCAACAAAGGGTACCCTCAAGAATAGACACACCCAAATCCGGTTTAGGGAACTTCCGCAAGCGACCTGAAGCGCAGTCCTTGCGTGCTCGGAGATGTCGGCGGAGTAACTTGTCAAGTCACCTGAGTGCGAGCCATGCTTTGTCTCGGCCAGGGGCTCAAACCACACCAGCCCAAAGGCTACCTATGTCTTTTGCTTTTATGAGGAACATAGTAATCCCCGCCTTGTCCACCTGTCAGAGGGTGCCCAATTATAATGAGACTAAAATCCACACCCCTGAGAGAAGTGTGCAGTGCCTGCAACCTCCGAAACCCAGCAACAACACGCCCGACTTCAGGCTTCAGGCTGTCTGGGTGTCATCTGGGTCTGTCTTAAAATAGACCCCCCCTCTGAAATGGTTTCTCCTTCGTCTCCCTCTAAAGACAAACTCAAACAAATGACACGCTTATTTGACGCCCGGACTAAACATCGCGCATGGTTTTTCCTTGGGCCAAGGCCGCAGTAGCTTGTCATCAGGTCGTGGGAGATCTGCGGCTGGTAGGGGATGCAGCCCTCCTCGCTTTTGCACAAATTGGAATCGGTCCACTTAAAAAGGTTGTGGGACCGAGCCAGACGCAATTGGGTGTCCTTCTGTGCCCTGTCCAACCAAAAGCAATTGGGTCGATTCACTCTTTTTGAGAGAAGCTCGCATGGAAGATCAGACTTTTCTGTCCATGCTGGGGTCGTGCTAATCAGCCTACTCTATAACGCTTCTATTTTGGTTGTGGCTGCATATCCAAACACGGGGGACCTTGACCAAAGGCCCGTTGCCAAAATGCAACCGCTATAAATACAACCTTACGACTCCTAGGATATAATAGGTTCGACTTTTAACAAACCACAGGTTTTTGAAGGCAACCCACATGCGTTGCTTGGCCAACGAGGGGCTTCCCAAATGCGTGCCCATGGTGGAAACTCCTTTGGGCTGTCATGGCATTGGTTCTCTGAATTCCATTGGTTCATTCTTGCATTGGTTACACTAGTTGGACTCTTGCATTGGTGAATTCTTCAGGGGTCCATGAACAGCACGGCCAACCCCAAGTAGTTTTGACGTCGAATCTGGCTTGCAAGTCCGTCCTCCCCGACTTTGATGCTCATATCCTGCGAGTACATCCGAGCGCTGCTCCGAACTTCGATCGGAACTTGGGAAGTCCGGCGGCTGTACATCCTTCTGACAAACAAATCCCAGAGTGCCACTCCAAAGACGGGTGAGCCACCGGCGAAACGGAGAGACATCTGACCAGTCCAACTGGATTGAAGCCGGCGTCAGCTACGGAGCCCTGCCAGGCGTCAGCTAGGCGCCAAGTGGAGCCGACTCGTTTGGCTTGGCGAAGGCTAAACCAACCACATCCGACCTCTCGCAAATCCCAAGGCACAGAGTTTCCAACTTCTGACCCTATGAGGGTTCTGCCCCTTTCTTTTGAAAAGTGGGGTTGAATTGAAGAGAAACCCAACCAACAGCCCGCCGAAATGGCTCCGGCTCAGGTCCTTGCGAACCCGAACCCGTCTGGCTGAGTTCGACGGCCGTCCTCCCCTTGGCCTCCTTTTAAGGGTATGACACATTAGCTACGTGCTGGGGGATTTCGCTCAAGATGAAATGGATTGGATTGAAGGCAAATACTCTTGCTGTACGGGTTCATGTAGAATTATCATGGTATTCATGTTGCAACCCAGAAATGGGCTTGTTGTGACAACTCTTATGGGCTAGAATGTACAACGTTGCAACCGTCTTATTGTGAGCTGTTACGTTTATAAGTTGGAGTCGCTTACAAAGAGTGGTAAAACTGCCATCAACTCATGACAGCGACACCTCACTTCTCCTTGGTCGTGTTTTCTTGGGTCCTACATCATTTGGATTATATTTACAAAGCTTGAATACAAACCCGATCAATAACAAACAGGTGAATCATGATCATTACTATGTGCTATTGTAGGTGAGTAGGCTTTATGTGTCTGAAGAGTGGCTTATAACGGCTATGCGATTATCAGTATCATTGATAATACCACGCAACCCAGCCGAAACAAGTTCGGCCCCCCTTTTAGTTGGCATTCAAAGGGACCTGACAGGAAACCAACCATTTTAGAGCGCCGATTCTTGAAACTCCCGCAAAAAAAACTTCCGCGGCCCGCCCGTTTCGGCCTTGCAGGCGTTCTTCTTCCGCAGCTCTGCGCCCGCCTGCTCGTAGGCCTTGCCGCACTTGCCGCCTGGGCGCGAGGAAGGCCTGGTGACCCCATACCGCTGGTTGTAGCCAGTAAAACCCTACTAGTGAGCCTCCCGCTGCTGGGTTCCTCCTGCTGCTGGGTTTTCGGTCAGCTGCACCCAAGTGTTCTTTTTTTTGCAACCATGGGAATATAAGGGGGCTGCACTACTTGCTGGTGCTCAGCAGGGAATGAGGCTACTAAAATCCTAGTCATCTCAGTGGCAACTCCCATCCCAGTGAGTATGACTTTTGTCTCGCGCCGTTGGTGGCCTTTCCGGAGGTGGAGCATGGAGCTGGGCAAATGTGCCTTGAAATGCTTTTTGAGAGAGCCTTTTCAGGTTGCTCTCCAGGAAAACCTATTCCCCCGGAAACCATGTACACGCAGGGAGTCTCGGGGGTCTTGGGGGGTCTTGGGGGGATGACCGTTGTGTGCTGCCTGCCAAAGTGGCTGATTGCTATGACTACTTTATCATTTGACAGGGCATTCCCTCGGTATCACAGACACCCGCCCTTAAACTCAATTTTCCACAGCCATGATAAGGTGTCGAAAGATGAGAGAGAGCGAGAGAGATCTGGCAGACACATGCATCTGAGTTGCCCGCCCGCCCCCCCCCCCCCTTGAAGTTGATGTACCTGACATGTGTACATTTATGTGGATGGGGGAAGCACCCCATCCGATAAATCCCCGCTTTTTGTATGTGTCAACATGACGGTAGCCTTTGGACACAAAGATCTGCAGGGAGGTCCTCTAGTTCCCAAGAAATTGCCTCAACCTCGCATTCCACGACGAGGACCCAGGAGCCGTTTGATTCTTTATCTCTCTGGTTCGATAGGCAGGAAAGGGGAAACGACCCCTATAAACCATGCCTCATGGTTGTCTTTTGGAGGGTTTCCAGGGTCATTCCCAAACCCAACACGCAAGTTGTGGTGGGGCTGGCGAAATAGGGTTTATGAGGGTTGCATAAGCCGTACTATAACCCCCATGAAAATCCAATGAGGATTTTGAAGTACGCTTTCGAGCAATCTTGTTTGAAGGTATGCAGGTCATATACATCTGATGCTTGGAAATGGGTCTCAAAATTGAGGACGCTTACACCGGCAAAGTGTTCCTTGTGGTTTCCCTGTAAAACCAAGCAATGGCAGGTTCGGCCTGAAAGCGGCGCGCCCGCTCTGGGTGTGGCTCCAAATTGAAGAGCCAAGGCAAACCGCAGGTTTCAGTCTTTTGTTCCCATAGGTGCTGTTTTGGGCACCCTCCTGTCAACATGGATTCCGACGGGTCCTGAAAGACCATGTTCCTTTAACGGGAATCTGGTGGACTCTTGTTAGGTGCCATTGTCCATGACTAAAAGGACCAGGTTCGCCGGTTCTTAGCTGCAAACCTTTCTTTGCCGGAATGCCGAAGTCCTTTCGGCGCTCAGGCTCTAGGGCACAGGCTGGTCTTGAACCAGCACTGGTCCTCTGGCTTCCAACCGTAGCTCACCTGCCAGTTGAGACTCCAGGCCTGGAAGTGATGGAGGAAACGAATTTCGCACACTGGAAACCGTGGTGGAACCCACTGTTTATATTTTCCAGGGGCCTCATCATGTGGTGCAGGATTTGGTCCACCCGCAGTATGGTTTGGAGTTTTCATTGGTTTGGATTGGAGGGCCTTGGTTCAAACCCAACCTGGTGATTTAAACTGGACCTTTGGCCCCAACTCCAAAAGATCATGTTCAGATTCTGCTGGTCTAACCTTCCCGAAAAAAAATAAAAATGGAGGAGACCCCAGCAAAGCGGAACCCCTGCTTTGGATGAAAGGGAACTCGAATAAACAGAGACAATTCTCACCTTTTCCCCTTGGGTTCCCTTGAAACCAACCAGAAATGGGCACCTCAAACACACACACACACACACAAGCCGGACAGGTGGCTGACACCATGGCGGGGTGCCCTCGACTGAAGGGAAAATAGTTGTTTCAACAGAGTAAACCACAGGAGAGCCCATTCCCAGACTGGAAATGAGTGCGTCTGTCTTTAGTGGACCCCCCAAAATGGTTGGTTTCCTTTTGGCCTTCCTTTAAAACTAACCAAAAGAAGGTGCCCCAAAAAAAGCCAGACCCAAATCAGGCCTGCCACCTCCCCCCCCATCAATCCCCCAACGCCTGCGCCGGATCGTCGTAGTCGAAGAGGCACCAAGCCCCGCAGTGCTCAAACCTCGGGCCAGTGCTTGCAGAATTTGAGACACGGATGCGCGCGCTGAGAAGGGTGACTTTTGGGCGTTGAGGGTAGCTGCGCCGCTGAGAAGGGCGGTTTTTTGGTAGCTGGACCCTGGCAATACCCGGTGATGTCCAATGTGTAAGGATACTTTGAAGGGTCTAGCTACCCTTTTTGAGATGGATTGAAAGACAAACCGGAAGGACACCGAGAAGATTCAAGGGCCCTATTAGAAACAAACCAAAACGATCACAAGACAAGAAGTGATGGCACGGGGAGTTTGCATGGGGGGGGGTTCTCAAATTGGCGGACCCCTGTCTTGTGCTTCAAAGGGGAAACCAAAAGGGCGCAACCCAGTGTGGGGTTCCAGTGACTGTACGGATGTGCTGCGGGTACGTGTCCAAATGGGGGGATCCGATCACACAAATGATAGCTTTCCGTTTGGTGGTCCTTTGAACTGCAAGGGTACCCCCAAAAAAGCATATATATATATATATATACATATACATATACATATATATATATATATACATATATCATATGTATACAGAAGATATACATATATATGCCATGGTCAAAGGTCCTTATTTGGGTACTTGCCATGCCGCCCTAACCCTTACGATGTTGGCCTAACATCTCTGAGGGGGTGACCATCCCGGAATCTAGTCCCAAGAGAGTTTGGGCCGTATGAAAGTTGATCAAGACAAACCACCCAACGAAAACTTCGACCTTCCATGAAAAGCAAAAGCTCCTTCCCTGGGACCCTTTTTGGGGGCGCCTTTCACCCGGATTTGGATCAAGCCCTTTCGCCTGTTGGGCGCGATCTGAGCCAAAGCCCGGGTCTCCGGGCATCTTGTTGGCCAAAGCCCGGTGGATCTGCAGACGAAACGAGGCTTGCGAATGTCTTGAGGCGCATGTCTGGGCGACAGAAAACGGAACTTTCAGATTCTGGTGCAGATCTAGTCGAACCAAAATGTGCTCTTCTATTATTTTATTAAAAACAATAATATACATATATTTATGTATATGTTTGGAGGAGACCCCGAAAACGCCTGATATGGGGATGGCTTTTTGGTATTCACCTGTATAACTTATTCACAACTGCTGTTTTTGGTCTAAGTCCTCTTGGGGAAACAAGCAATATCGTCTGAGGCTCACACGAGTGGTTTCTAAAACCGGGTCAATCCTAAAAAATGAGGCGTTGAAGCACCATCCAAACATGTCGATTCACAATTTGTAATTGGGGATCTTGTAGGCATCTTTCAAACATGGGCCCAAGAGAACGCCCGAAAAAGGTCACTTAACAAACCGTTTGACAGCCGCTTGGAGCTGAAAACCATTATTTTCGAAAACTATTCTATCAGCCGCGTTCCCCTGGCTTTCAACCACTTTCAAAAAGCCAACCATTTCCTCCTAGTGTTCAATCCTGGACAAAAACAGCTGTACAGCTGTGGGAAAAAGCAGGCTTTCTCGGTGTTGCCGGGTTGCCCCAAGCACTTTTCATGACAACTCCAAGACCCTCGATTGCTACGCCAGATCCAAATTGCCTCCCCTAATCCCCTAATCCCCCCCCACCCCCGAATGAGTCAAACAGGGCGACCCACAAAACAGGTGGTGTCACTTTAGTTTAATCAACTCGACAAAAGGTATTGAGTCTTAAATTATCACACACGCACACATCAAAATGGTTGATAAACGGAAATGACGTCCACGAAAGGGTCCCTCATAAAAGCATCGAACACATCTTGTCACGGGACTTTCCAGGGATGGGTTTTGGGAGGTACTGTGGATGGTTGCGAAATCCACTTCGCACCACCTAAGAATCCCTGGTTTCTGATGATTCCCCTGTAAATACAGACATGACAAACAACGGTTTCAACCATGGTTTCACAGTGGTGCAGGATTTCGTCCATCCACTCTATGGAGGTCATTTCCCACTTGTGTAAGCGGTATTGGTATACAAGCGTCCATACCTCCAAAAAACGAACTTGAACATGCCCTGCATATGTTGGGAAATCCTATCCGTCCCCTGCTCTCTCCCCACGCCTTGGGGGTGTCAGCTGCGTCACATCCCCGAGCCCCCGAAAACTTGTTGGCGCCCACGGACCGGTCACCTGAACGCCGAAAATGCGAAAGAAATGATGAGTTAGAACCTGTTCCACGGCATGGGAAAATTAAGGAGTTTTCCCCTTGTCTCAAATATCACACAGCTGCACTTCCATGCAAACTGTAGTTTTGGAGACAGGCTAAAACACACTGTTTCTGTAGTGGACAGGGGAGAAAGAGTGAGTGCTGTTTTTGTGGCTCCATCTGCCGGAGAATTTGGCCCCGCCTCGTGGGGTCAAATTCTCTCATAGTTATAGTTGTTAGGCGGCGTTCAAAGGAAGCGCAATGCCTCGACACCCATTTTGGGCCTATCAACTTCGGGACAAATGGAGCGACGCCTCTAGGTTTCCGCTCCACAGGATTCCCCAAAAGGCTGCAAAGCTGGATGGGCGCGCCTCGTAGTCACAAGTTCAACAATTCCGGCTCTCAGGATGCCTTTGCTTGACGCCTTCGAACACATCCCCTTTGTAGAGGCTGTCTAGATCCCTGAGTGGTTCATGACCATCCTTAGTGACGTACCTGTACCAATCCATGTTACACCTGCTTGCTGACCCAAACAATGCGCCGTTTTTGCTGGGTGCGTGCTTTCTGAGGATACCCTTCTTCAGCTTGGCAACCAAAAGGAGAGCTGCCATCCTGCGCGATCCTTTTAACCCCGCTTTTGGGACTTGCCCAAAAGTATACTTACACTAGGCCGGTAGTCTAAGGACTCCCCTGCGATCCAAACCCCTCTCGTATTTCAACAGGACCCCTGTTTCAAAGCCCGACCCTTTCTGTCCATCCCTTCCCATTTCCACCAACTTGTACGCTTCCTCCCACCAACATGGCACCTGACAAAGCTTCCATTAAAAAAGAAGAAGGTAAAACTTCCAGGTACCCCCTTCGCCGCTTTCGCCGAAGGCGCAGTAGCTGCTCATCAGCGCGTCGGTGAGCTGCACTTGCACGGGGAAGCAGGCCGGCTTCGGCGCCTGCGGCGTTTCGGGTCCCCAACTTGGTTTGGCGCATCTCGGCGGCTGTTTTGGGTTTGGCGCCCCCGAAAAACAATTCGGTTGTCGTTTTTTTTTTTTTTTTTTTTTCTTTCCCTGATCAGTGGATTTCCATGGCAAGGGTAGCTAGATTGCCAAGCTGATGATTGTTTTTTTTCTCTGAACGCTGCACTCTAAAACACTCATAGTTGCGAGACAACTGGCTGAGTAAGAAAAACAAACAACAGAAGGATAAATTTGTGTTTGGACACCCATCTTGAGGGTTCCCCTAGTTCGAAACAAACCCATCGGGAAAGTGTGACGCTGAGCCGCTAAAAAACTGCCGTCCAAAACCAGGATTGACTCGCCCTAAGATGTCAATGACCCGCGGGGTGAATGGCATTACCCCCCAATTGGTAAATTGGATTGGTGGAGCTTGGGTGGCTTCCCATTTTCCCTCCACAAACGCCGAAAAAGTCTGACCCCCAAACCGCCCATCCAAACCATCTAAGTACATATAGCCACTAAGCCAAACTCGCAGGTTTCCACCTAAGCCTCAGCCTTCAGCTTGAAACGGCCGACTTCCTTTTTAGTTTCCCTTGGAAAAAGCAACCCACAAAAAGGCTTGAAAAAAGACACGCCCATATGGCTATGACTTTTCGGCGAAGCCCCCGAAACCCCGAGGTTTCCCCCTGACATGGCCAATGGAAATCGATTTTGCTAGCTCACCTAGTTGTGGATGTGGAAAATGGGGGGGGGGGGTCTAGGGCCACTTTCTATGATACCAAGGGAGTTTTGAGAAAACCCGTACAGAAAATTGTCCACCGTGCCATCAGCTTCCCTCCAATTGGTTTGGTTTGGTTTGGTGGTTTGGTTTGGTTTGGTGGCTAAAAAATGGTCTACCAGTCACCCTCTACAAGAACCAGCCGTTCAAATCCAAACCACCAATCCAAACCGCCAAACAAGGGGGTTGCCTGATTCTGGGTGGCTTTCCTTTTGGTACCAAGTGTTCCCTCAAAAAAGAGATCCACCTATGTTAAAAAAGAAAAAAGGAAAAACAGAAGCATCGTCGACAAAACCATCTCCAACCACAAGGGATGGTTTATAAGGGTCATTCCCACATTCCCTACTGAGCACCAGCAAGTAATTGGTAGTTACCTGATGCCTGACTGACCAACTCACAAAACCCTCTCGAGCCTCGCACAGCAAGTTCTTGTGCGCGATCACCGCGTCTCGCTCTCGGGCCGGGCCGCAGCTTTCTGGCAGTTCCGCGGGGGAAGGGGGGGGGCAGAAAGCGAGGCCATCTGAGAGGGCCTTCGACCTGTTCCAAAAGCAGATGGGTTTTCATTACGGTTGCATGCGAGGAGTCCATGGATCTTCAACATGCGTGACCTTTTTCGAAAAGATCATGCGGTCTCTCTGGCAAATGGGGTATAAAACCACATCTAAACCAATGGTTCCCAGCTATTGTTGAACAAACTAAGCGATTTCTCCAGGATATGGCCATCAAGCCTTGGGTGCCACGGAGCAAAACTCTGGTCCAAAAAGTGCACCAGTTCGGTGGCCAGGGCTTCATGCGCCCATGGATGTGGTTTCCGTGTAAAAAACCAACCCAGGGGCTCGATTCACCATTTGGTGAAACTTCCCGGTGGATGGTTGCGAGATCCATTTCGCACCACCTAAGAAACCATGGGATGATGATTCCCTTGTAATACCAAGAAACGATGGTTTCCCATGGTTTTAACTTGGTGCGCGATTTTTGTCCATCCACAGTATTGAGCTATCTAGACAGGGCTTTCCTCCTTCAAGAGTGAGCCGAGCCCATCTTCGAATCAGCAACAGATGCATGTTCAGGGCAGCCTTGGTCCATTTTGTTTTCGCTTTGGGTTGGGGATATGGAGCCTTTCGGGATTTTCATATTGGCCTGGGCCGAGCTACCCTAAACAAGGAGACCATAGATGTTTCACAGGTACTTTGAGGGTGGCACTTCTGTGGTACTGGAACCTCACAAAGACTCGGGGAGGGAGGGACCACTATTTTGAGAAACACCATCGGAAAGCCAACCATTTACCAAATGCCTGGAATGGCCCCACACCGAATCCTGTTGTCTTAAAAGGCACCCCAAAGGAGCCGTTTCGCACATCTATCCTGGGTGCCACTTGCGCTTTTTTGATGCCTAAGCCGTGTCTATTTTGGGCCCTTCTGGCCTGGCAACTGTCAAGGCTGGCTTCTGTCTTTCAACGTGGCCAACATGTGGCCATGGGTCAAAACCCCGTACCCCCAGTGAACATCCCACTCCCCACTAAAATAGAGTAAAATGGGTGGTGCACCTATCCCAAATGGTACCATTGGTTTTGAACCATGGCCACATGTGTCTTCTGAGCGACCTTGTTGACAGTTGCAACAAGCGGAGAGGTGCCCCGCGCCTGACTTCGCCCAGCACTTGTGCTGGGGGTCCCAGCCGTATGCCGCGTACCTGAACCCAAAAACTCCCCGCAGCAGAAGCGATTCGGGTACCAAACCCCCCCACCGGATTGTCTCGCTTCATAGTTCGGGAAGAAGAATCCCCAGTTGCATGTTTTGGCCCAAGCCCCGGCTGTTTGCTTTTCCAGCATCCCGTGTTTTGATTATATAATCTCGGCAGACTCCAACCCATGAGTGGTCCATGTCCCAAAAATGGATATGCTCCGGGGTTTGAGAGCGTTGTGGGATTTCTTTGAGATCATGAAACTCTGGCAGGTTTGGGCTTTTATAAAACACGTAGCATCCATGGCGTTAAGGGGTGCGCCCATTCCTGCCAAGGTCCCACTTAAAACTTCCAGACTTCAACCAAGGGGCTTACCTTGGGGACGTGAACCACCCACAGATTTGAATCTGCAGCACTCAAACAAAACGCTTGGAAAACGCTTGGCTCGCTGGCAACCCCCCCCAAAGAAAAACCCTCAGTTTGTTGACAAAACCCACAATATGCGATTCGCCAGGTCCTTCATTTCTTGCCCCGTCTGCCGAGAGTTTAACTTTTTGTGGGTTTCCCCAAAATCTAAAGTGCAAAGCTCCAACCAATTAGCCATGAAGATGTTGAGCAACCCCCCTGCTCCGACCACCTGCGCCCCTGGCAATGGGTTTGGGCTCCGCGCCAAGGGAAGGTGAAGTCAAAGATGCACCAGGCTTGGCAGTGGGAGAACCTCGCTGCGCGTCCAGAAGAAGAGCCCCAAAAGTTTTCGCGTTCCTCCCACAACTGAAGGCATTTGTGGGAGGGTACCTGGAAGATGGGCTTCCTCTTGGAGAGACCCTGTCAGGTGCCATGTTAGTGGGAGGGTATACAGTAGTTCAAGCCCTTCTGATTGGTGTAATCCTACTTGGGCCCAACAAAACACTTAAGGTCCGGTTTTGGGTCATTCAGTCACAAGCTGAAGCCAAAGAGTTGAAATTCTGAGGGGTGCTCAGGCGGGTCGAAAATAGGTCCTAAGGAACCAAAAGGATACCCAAGTTGGTCCTTGTGTCTCTCGAAGCACTGCCTTTGGAACACGACCTTTGCAAATTGGATAACGGTAACTCAGGCACCAAAAACCTTTGTTGCGAACCACTGGGATGAGTCCTTGCTGGATTTCACAGCCTCGTCCTGTGGTGGTTTGCAAAACTTTTGGCTCAACCCCCTTTGTAATGTACAAGTCTCCCAAATCCGCCAGAGAAATCAGGAAATTTTGGGATCACGAACACGAGCCTCGGTCAGAGCTTGCTGCTGATATAAGGGGCTATGTGTTTTTTACACGCGCTTGTATCTTATGGCCATGATATAGGTTGGTTTTATAGTACCCCACAATTCTGCTTTAGTTGCTCTAGTGCCCTGAAAGCACAAATGGACATGGAAAACCATTGCTCGTGCCTCGTCCTTTTCCCGAGCCTGGCATGATTGCTTTTTCCCAGATCCCCAGTGGGACAAAAACAGAATTCGGGTACCCTTCTGTTGGTTGTAAAAGCCACCTCCAGAACAGTTTTACAAAAAATGCCAAGGCCCACTCGAGGTCCGAGTTGTCCAAAGGCTGCTCTGCTCTTGGTGCAGGGCATTTTGTTCGCCAAGGCAACTTGAACCTGGCGAGGGAGCGACTCGAGTTGCGAACAACTTGCTGGTTCTCAGTAGGGAATGTGGGGACCCCGGAGTTCCCTTGAAGGAAACGACTAGTGATGATTTATAAGGGTCATTCCCTCATTCCCTGCAGAGCACCAGCAAGACAAACATGGTTAAAGTTTAAAATTTAAACCACTGTTGTTTGAACTGCCATTTTGTCTGGAAGATTCTTCTAACCAAATTTGGCTCGAAACTCTGCTTCATGGAACAGATCGCCTAGCGAGAACACAGCCGCATGGGTGACATGGAACATGGCCAGGGATCGTCCGGCATGGCTCGAGAAATCTACCCGGGTGCTCCTTTTAGGCACTGTCAACAGGATAGAACAGGTTCCACGAAGGAATGCGGGACCAGCTGACAGTTGGGGGGTGCGTCCTCTGGTTTCTTCCGTGTGCTTAAGTTTCCTGGGGGAAAACAAAAACAAAAAAACAAGTACGTCCTGTAGGAATAGTTTCCCCATACTACCAACAGGGCAAACATATTGTTTGCTGAACAAAGGACGTCTTGAGCAAATGGAAGGTTGTCCTGCTTTCCTAACGGCATCTTGGTGAGCGTGCCCGAGCAGTCTTAAGTTCACAGCAAACGACGGGTAGATATTGACCGTTGCTCATGCAACAAAGTTCCAAGAAGAATCCAGCAGATCCAGCCCTCTGGTTGGGGATCCGCACCCCATCGGCTTCATCGTCATTCCTTCTCAGCCCTTCCAGCTATGGGATCGCTGCCTTCGCAGCTCTGGGCGTCGGGTTCCGGAACGGGTTCCTGGGCTTATTTTTTGTAGAGCTCACATGGATCCGAGTCAATGACACTGAAATGGGCGGCCTCCTTCTGGCTTCGCTTTGAACCCAAAGCGCTCCCGCGAAGAAAAACAAGCCACATCCAAATCGCTTCCTTGACTTCGAAGAGGTCGTGATTCAAATTGCAATCCGAGCATATGGGTGTGTATTTATTGAGGGTACCAAAAACACACAGAAAATATAAGTTTGTTATTATGATTGTTGTTATTATTATTATCCGTATCATTATTTATTACTATCATTATTATTACCATCATTATTATTACTATTGTTACTATTATTGTTATTACTATTCTTACTATCATTATTACTACTATGATTACAAGTACACTACTTTTATTATTTTTCTTAATATTGTCATTTTGATTATTCTCATTATTATTATTTATTACAATCATTTTCATTACTACTACTACTACTACTACTACTACTACTACTACTACTACTACTACTACTACTACTACTACTACTACTACTACTACTACTACTACTACTACTACTACTACTACTACTACTACTACTACTACTACTACTACTACTACTACTACTACTACTACTACTACTACTACTACTACTACTACTACTACTACTACTACTACTACTTCTACTACTACTACTACTACCACTACTACTACTACTACTACTACTACTACTACTACTACTACTACTACTACTACTACTACTACTACTACCTAGTATTATTACTATTATTATTATTACTATTATTCTTATTACTATTATTATTATCATTAGTATTATCATTATTGTTATTGTATTTCTTGTTTGGGGGAGGGAGTCGGGATGGTGGACACGGAGAACCCAGTTTGCGATCTCCTTCCTTTCTTTACCGTATTAAGATTCTGGGACTTCATCTAATGTCGTCACGGAAACGGTTCCTTCATTTGTGGGGACGAAACCGCATGTTAAACATGGTCAAACAACTTCCTTCATGGCCCGGCCATTCCCCAAACCGGAAGATTACGGACCTTTTCAAAGGTTAGGACAAAGTCCCTGCCGATCCCCACTTCGACTCCCGGGTTTTGGACCATTGTCACGACCGTCACGCCTCGCCGGTGTAGCTGTCGTGGCAGCCCTTGGCATTCACACTCTTGTCATCACCAAATGACAGCTTCCCACCTCGGTGCGCATCAGGTGGGCTATGGGGATGAAAAGTAGGGCAAACCCAAAACGGATTGCCCTGTGAAGTGGAACTACCTGCAGTCCCCTGGTGGTTTGATGAGCCCAACCTCAACCCACAAGTGGCGGTCCCCGCAAAAGGCGATTCCTCTGCAAATACGTTTTGGCTCCATCATCTGCGGGGTTTTGTGAGCGAGTGTTGGAGGCTTTGGAGGGTTGGGGTGGTGCCGCCTTGTGCCACCGCGTGCAGGGCATACCACAAAGGGCCCCGATTTTTGACACCCCCCGATGGGTCATGGACTAACCAAAACCGCGCGAGGCAGGGACAACACCCTTGAAAAGCATTGCCTCACCTGAAAAACCTCCAGAAGCCATACCTGAAAATGCCCTATCTGTTTCAATGAGCCACGGTCAAAATTAAACAAACAGATTGCCATACAGGACCTTGGAAAAGATATGAGGCTTTGTCCAAATGGCTTGATTCGTAACATTTCTCCAAAGTGGACCATACTCCTACAAGATTCCTTCGGATTCATCCGGGGGCTCCTAAAGGAAATGAGGACCGTACTGTTACCTTTTCGTAAGGAAATAATGCAGTTTGGCTCTTCTGACTCATAGGGTCCCCCAGAATAATCAGACAACTCCATCCAACTTGTCTCAAGCGATGTATAGACCACAAAAAGGAGACGTAATGGTTTGTCTCATGCTGCGATATGGACCCAAAAAACAGTTGTCGTCCCGTTGCCTTCCCTTTAAAGCAACCGCACAACTCAACGGAAAGTCGCCAATTGGGCGTTCCCGTACAAAGGGCAAGACCCATCTTGGGCCATGCCCTCAACTTACACTCAAGAGAAGCGCAGCCTCGAAATGGGTCGGTTTTTTTTTCAGGGACCCCATGTTTGATTTCCCAGTTACGGGAAACCACATTTACGCACCCATTTCAAACAGGCTCACCTAAACACAGACACAGCACACGTCTCCCAAGCTGCAAGGTCCAAGCGGCAGTAGCCGAGCATGGTCGCATCCGAGTGCGCCATCTTGGGCGCATCGCAGGGAACCGCCTGCGACTCACGGAGAAGAAGCCGGGGCTCGGGCTTCTGGTTCTTGGCTTGGTGTCCTTTTCAAGCTTGTGTTAACGGAAAACCAAAAGAAAGCCATCACCCAACTTTTTTGGACAGCATTCGGGATTTTGGACATGGGAAGAAGCAATCGAGTGCTGGAAACCAAAATCTTTTTTGGGGGGTTGTGTGTTCTTTTTGGCCCCCAAACTAATCCAAACTAACTTAAAGGGGTGGGGCCTGGGCGCAACTGGGGCTCCCACGATCGCTGGGTCCTGCGCGGCCTGCGAGGCTCCGCCCCAAAAGTTCCCAGGAGAAAGCAGCTTAAGCCCCTCCCTTGTCGAAGGAAAGGCAACAAGCCAGAAGGGGTGTGGGGGAGGGGGGGGTTCTCGTTTAAAGAATGGGTCGTTCCATTTTGGTTTGCCTTTAAATATCGACCAAAAGGCGGGAAGCTCCCAAAAAGAAGCCTCACAACCAAAGAGAGTCCGCAAAAAAGCAGGCCTTACACAATAAGGAATCCATCAAACGAATCAGCTTGCACGTTTTGGCAAGACCCCAAAAAAGGCAAGGCCATGCACAAAAGGCATGTTGCCGAACTCAATCGTTTGGATTGTTGGTCTAGATGTTAGGGGCGCACACCCCCTGTCGAGATTCTGGATCCGAATGCCCCAAACCACTTGGGGGTAAGCGAGTCAAAAGCTCACCACTCCAGGCTGGTTGTCAGATGCTACTTTGAGGATTTGAGTGGGAAGGGAAATCACTTCTGAACCACCCAAAAGTGTTTTACGGATGAGTTTTGTTTTTTTCCTGGAGAGTTCGGTTATGTTGTAGGAGACAAAGTCTGGAACCTTGCGGTATAAAAAGGGGCTTGTCTTTCTGGTGCGACAGTTCGGGAATGATCGTTCCGGTTGTTAAGAATGAACCGAGGGATTTCCTTACAGGAAACCGTAGGGGATGGCTTATAGGGGTCATTCCCTCATTCCCTGCTGAGAACCAGCAGTGACGAGTTGCATCTGATACCATCTGTAACTGAACAAACAACTCAACTAAGATTTCTGGTCCAGACCAGCTTAAGGCCAAAAATTTCAGAAACGCTAAATGGGTTCTAAAAAACTGGTTACAGCATGCACAAAATGACAAGATGTGCGCAATTTTCTAGACCCCGTTGTTAGAACCCATTTGAGCAGGGCCGAAAACTCATTGACTGTTGTTTCTACTAAAATAGTCATAGTTGCAAATGTGTATATAGGCCTTACTGCCCTCATAAAGACAGTTTGCAAACCACCTACTAAAATTGCCAATGCGGGAGGGGGGTGGGCGCTGCTCATTTTAAGGTCAGAAGATGTCGTCCGAGTCACAAACTTCAGCGCGGAAGCGCCGAGTAGCCAGCACACACCTGAGTGAAGCTTGGCCTTGTCAGCGACCTTACCCCTCCCTGGCTGGCCTGGCTGGGACGTGGGGAGGTCATTTAGGCCACTGATAATCCCAATACATTGGCTTGGATTGCTGTCTTGGAGGTTGGGGGCTACCTCACCAGGGTTCAAAAAAGCGAGCCAATCCAAACCGCACGGCGAGTGGCCCGCATAACATCCACGGGGGGAGGGGGCGTTCCATAGCGCACTTGGAGCGGCCTTCGAAGTGCCGGCACAAAACAAATGATGCCGCAAACTCCGCAAGCACCCCCCAAAACGGACGATTTCAGCCCCCTGGACGCATGCCCGTCACCCAGCCGAATCCATCCCATCGAAATGCAAAGTTTGCGGGGTCAACGTGACTGCAACCCCCGCGATCTGCCAACTGAGTCCCCCGCCAACGGCTGCTCTCATGGCGGGAAAAGCTTCGTTAAGAACGGGGAGCCATAAAAAATTGGCTGCGGAGCGAGCGACGACCGATGGACTTTCGCACCGACATTCCGATCGGCACAAGAAGAGAAATCGGGGTCCGGTCCATTTTAGGGAACCCTGATGTTGCAACCAGAACCTGTCTTTTGGGGGTGCCCATTAGCCAAATGGTAAAGCAAAGATCCATGAAAGGGTTGGGCGGCAAACAGGGTCCACCTTTTGAAGGCCAGCACAAGCGCAGTGTGTGGTGGCTGGGCCAACCTCGGATTCATCCAAAGGACCATACTATTTGGTGACGGTTCCCCTCTCAGAGAGACAGTGGTTGAGTCGACCCTCAACTAATTAAAACAAATCAAACGTCTAAGAGTTGGAACCTTGAAAGTGGTGGTGGTTCCAAAGTCATCTCCACCAAGTTCTGATGTCCACCGTGTCGGGTTCAGTACCTATGATACTATGGTCCGGATGCCAGATGCGCGGCTCGCATCACATGGCTGAATCCGATGTTTGTGCCAACCCCAAAGGGCGTGAGTCTTCAAACCTGACATCAAAATGGTATACCCAAACCAATGTAAAGCACTAAAGAGGCGGCCGCTTGTCCAAACCTGAACTGGACTGTCCCTTCGCTAACCCTCACTCGCCTGGGTTTTAAGGCATGGCGTCTGTTTGGCTTCTGGGTACCCCCAAAACACACACACACACCCACACGCCCACACACCCACACACCCACTTTTCCAGGAGTTCCCTCTGGGAACACAGGCACGCCTATAGGTCCTTTCTGGGAGAAGAAAGGAATGAACCCGTGCTTGTGAATCCCAGCAATTGTAGTGGCCGTGGGGAAAAAAGGCACTCGTTGTTCTGGCAGTTGACTTTACAGGGAAAGCCCCCGAAAAGGAAACATGCAGAAAGGAAGCAACCCACTGGGTGTCTGGGGAATCTAGCCCCCAAAAAAACGGGGGGAAAGAGCACCGCTGAGCGGGGAATGCTTGGATCTCTTTTGCAGGCGAATCGCCCTCCGTCAACCGCAGGTTCGCGGTCAGCAGGACTAGGCCTGCAAGGCGAGTCCAGAGATTCGCCAAGAGAGTTCCACGCAACTCAACCAAGGCCCCAGGCTTTAAACAACCTATAATATGGGAGTGTCTTTTGTTGAGGACCCCCCACATGGCTTGCAACATCGTCACATTGTAAGGACAGGAATGTCAGCCACGCTAGGCTAGCGTCTTTTTCCCAGGCGCAATGCACAACCAAACGTCTGGCTTCAGCACAAATCGGGCACTTCTTCTTTGCCTTGCGCTGCAAGACGACGTTTAGCACTGAAGGCAGTATTGCTTCAGCTTGCCATGAAGGCAGGGATTGCAGCTCCACTCGTAGAAAGAAACGCCGTGAGGACTGCGCTTGCCATGGGAAGACTTGCTACGCGAGGTGCACTGCCTCTTGACCTTGCCATGGGGGCGGCCTTTGCAAATCCGGCAGTTCTGCCATACGGTGTTCAGAAATCTGCTGGTTGTAACAGTTAGACCAGACCTTGCCCATCTTTTTTCTATAAAAAAACCTAGGGTCCTCCCCACACTTTTAGCAACATTTTAAAACAGCACCTCAAACAGCACATTTTCAAAAATTAACATTTTAAAGCAGGTAATTTCCTAGTAAGTTCATCCATATTTTAAAATATAAATTTTAAAAAATAAATTTTAAAAAAAGGAATTTTAAAAAATAAATTTTAAAAAATAAATTTTACAAAATTTTAAAAAATAAATTTTCAAAAAAAAAATAAAAAATAATTTTTAAAAAATAAATTTTAAAAAAATTTAAAAAATAAATTTTACAAAAAAAATAAAAAAATAAATTTTCAATAAAATATTATTCCAAAAAATTATGATAAATTATTTTACAATAAATTTTATCACAAATTTTGTAGACATATTATGGGCAAGGTCTGGTTCATTCGTTTTTTACGGGCACCATTCTTTCTTAATTCTTTCTATTATTTTATCACACGTTGCTTCATTATAAATATTACTTCCTATTTGTTTTCTAAACATTCCCATTATTCCAGTTGCACGTGTTATTGTATATCTAAGTTCGTGAGTTTTATACTCATCATTTAAAAACTCATTTAAAAAATCAAACAATATAACATATTTTAAACGTTTAATATTAAAAGAACCGTTATATATTTTTTTACCATACTATAATACTTAAAAATAAAATCATTATTATATCCTTCGTCATCACACTCAGTTAGTAAATTATCAAACCCTTCTATAGTTAAGAAATTATTCATTACAATAAACACAAATATTTCTAAATCATCATCAATAGTTTCATTATTTCTAATATCAATATCTTTGTTATTCATATCATCAATTTTGTTTATAATTCTATTACAATTATTGCATATCATATATTGACAAATATAATTACAAACGCCATTTGTAAAACCCTGTTCAACTGGTAATTTTAGCATTTCGCAGTCTTCACATTTATAACTCATAAACTTTTTTTTCAATATATTTTTAGCATCGTGGACTGTATCACTCATCAAACTATATAATAGTATTATAAAATATTTCTTTAAATACTTTTACAAGAATTTTAATTTTAAATTAAAATTAAATTAATAAAATAAAATTAAGTTAATAAATTAAAATTAAATTAATAAATTAAAATTAAATTAATAAAATAAAATTAAATTAATAAATTAAAATTAAATTAATAAATTAAAATTATAATTAAATTAGCATAATTAAATTATAATTGCTAAAATTGGATTATCATCATTAAAACTTAAATCCCGTGCAATTTTACAAACAGAACCACTGCCTGAAAATAATTCTAATAAATTCATATTATTAGAACTATTTGTATTTTAATTTTCAACAATTACATATTTACCATCATCGCCCTTAATTAGTTTATAATATTCTAATGTTTGTTCTTTTGGACTTTTGATTTGTCCCTTATTTAACATATCACAATATTTTTTACGCTTCGTGTCATAATCACCGCTGGGTCTGCCTATCCCTTTCTTTTCAAAGATCTTATCAATCTTTTCCTTCTCTTCATTGTTATTTTTTGGTTCGTTTGCCTTTGCATCAAGTTTCTGGTCAATAGTTTTTATCATCTCGTACAACAGTTTAACATTTTTACTAACTGTCATTATCTTCTTTGATAGTTCAACAATAACATCATTTTCAACTTCAGACATTTCTATATATATTTATTTATATAATTATTTATTTAAATATTTATTTATTTATAAAATTGATTTAATGTAAAATATACTCTTTAAGTACTAAATTTTCATCATTTGTTTAATAGTTTCCTGTGCTTCGTTATCACCATTATCGGATGGCGACGCATGCCTCCCCCATTTAAAAGTTATATTATGAACATCCGTTTCCAGATTTATACTGTCTTTGGTTTTATCAATATTCATTTTCTTATCGTTTTTACTCAATTTGAAATTTGTCGCAATACACGAACATTTACAATTTCCTTTCTTTTGTATTTCTATTTCATTTTTTATTTCTAACATCTTTTTACACATAGGACACTCAAACTCGGTTAGTGCTGTTTCCTTAACAATTTCTTCTTCTTTGTCTTCATCTGTTGAAGAAACTGTAGTATCCGTTTTATTCTTTTTGTTTTTCTTTTTTCCCATTTATATTAATATTTGCATTTTTATTTTTGATATATTGTATTCCTAATTTTATTAATTCTAATGAATAATAACAGCATTTTTTAATTTTATTGTCAGTTATTATTACTTGTTCTATATTCTCTACTTCATCTATTATATCAATATAATCTGAATAACTTCTATCCATATTAAATAATAAGATAAATTATTCTAATTAATCTTATTATTTTCATGCATAATAGAATATTGGTGGGGCACAGCACTTGGGTTTTCATTGCACACGCGAGCAAGACACAAAACTAATTATCTTCAATGCTTATTGATTGAAGCAATGGAAAACCTGTTCCATTATGTTATTCACCGCCACTCATAACATAATGATGTTCCATTTAATATTAATTACAAGTTAATTTTTAAATATAATTTTCTATATTTCTTTAATATCAACTATGACAGATGTCCCAATAATAAAACCAATAAACATAACTGAATATGAATTCAAACAATCCAAATATGAGCACGTGCCAAAATTACCATTTAGAAGTATTATAGTTGCGAGTTCGACGGGAGGCAAAACAGTTTTAGTTCAGAATCTTATTTTAAATGTTTATAGAAATTCATTTGCAAGAATATTTATATTTTCACCCAGCGTTCATAATGACCCAACTTTTACAGAAGTTAAAAAATACATCAGGGATGAATTGCACGTAGATGATGAAAAAGAACAAATATATTTTGATAATTATAACCCAAGTGATTTAGAAAATGTAATTGAAAGACAGAAGAAAATAATTAATTATATGAAATCTAAAAAGATAAAGAAACTGCATTCAATATTAATCGTTATAGATGACCACGCAGACGATCCTAAATTTGTTAGATATAGTAAATTATTACATGGATTATTTACAAGAGGTAGGCACGATGCAGTAAGTGTAATTTGTTCAACACAAAAATATAATGTTTTAGCGCCTATCATTCGTTTAAATGCCAGTTCATTATATATTTTTAGGTTGAAAAATGCAAGTGAGTTAATGAGTTTTATTGAAGAAAATAGCGCCATTGTTGATAAACAGCAATTATTAGATATGTATCATCAAGCCGTTAATGACGCACCTTCTAGTTTCTTCTACGTGAATATGAATGCTAAAAAAATTAACAAAATGTTTCATATCAGATTTGAACAGGCGTTTCAAATTACAAATGATGAATAAAGATATTCTAATTTAATATAATATAATAATATGGTTATAAAACAATGTAGATGTGGTGGATTTTATCGTAGAGGTAATTATAATTTTCATACTAATTCTTGGATACATAAACTTTATAAGGTAAAGAAGGGCAACAGACGAGGAATTATTACGATTTCAAAATATTTTTGTTGATGAAGAAGATTTAATAGATGATAGATGTAGCAATGCCTCAACGAAATTACCCGATAGTGAAATGACAGATTATGATAGTAATCAATAATATTAATTTGTTTTAATATTATTAATTTAAAATAATGAATAATTACATAATTGAACAGGTAATTTATATATTAATTTGTCAGATTTTTCTTTCTCTAGTTTTTCAATTCGTGTCACACATTCTTGAATAGATTTAATGATTAAAGTATCTGCTCTTGTTTTTTCATCTACTCTTAAATTCTTAATGTCTTCCATACTGTTATTTTCATCGTCTTTACTTTGACCAATACCCATTATATATAATATTATTTAGATTTTAATTTTTCAAAATAATATTTTTGTTTTTCTTCTCCGTCTTCTTCTTCTTCGTCTTCAGTTGGTGCTGGTATTTCTGTTGGACTTTCAGATGAAGAACTATGAACAGTAATAGGTGGCGAACTATGAACACTAATAGCTTCATTTGATGAATTGCTACTGCTACCTTGTGCATTTCCTGCTGTTATTTGATTAACTAAATCTGCGATATTTATTGTTGTTGCAATTGCGCTGTGCGATAAGTTTAATATGATATCTGCTACTGTAGCGCCGTTGTGTAGCATTATTTCTATCATTTTTGTCAGTTTGAACTTCTTTTCTTCTTCATCGCTGTCATCCTCGTCTGGTGGTTTCTTTGGCGGTGGTTCTGGCGGTTTGTTGTTGTCGAGCATTTTAGTAAAGGCTGACACCATTGTGTCGCGTTGGTTTTTCAATGTTTGTGTTGCCTGTGTTCTTGTTGGCTCATTTCTTTTGTATGTGTTGTGCCAAAAGTTTTTAAGCATTATTTTAAACATATTGTCCTGGTTTTCCTTTACCTTAAACGCTTCAAATGTCATATTTAATTGTTGATTTGCATCATTGTATAACTTTTCTTGAGTCTCTCTGGTTTCTGTGGCGATTGTATCTGTGTTGGTTGCAATGTCAATAAATTCTCTCGGTATGCCCTTTTTCATCAGT